CACGAAATGCCATCGCGGGATCAATTTCATCTCAGCTTAAGTGAAATTTCATTGGATAATTCGAAGAAGTCCTTGAGAGAGCGAGAAAAGAAGAAGCTAGAGTTTGGGACATTGGAATGAAAATGGAGAACTGACCATAGAGGCGAACAAGGCGATCCAAACCCTCCTTGGCGGAGTCCTCGTCGAATCCGAACTCAAGGGCCAAGCTAATCAATCTCGCCTTCTCCAACTCCAAATCCTGATCGTCCATTCTCCCCGCCGGCGAACCGCGATGAATTTCCCGCGCTTTCAAGTTAGAATGTATGTATGTCTTACAGCAAGGAAAAGGAAATGCGAGGTGTTTTTGAGTTGGAGCTGCCGTTCTTTTCTGACAGTCCACACGTGTTCATGATTTGGGCTTTTCATGATTAACGAGCCCACACCAAATAAGCCCTATTATATATTTTTTTTTTTAAAAAAGAAATTTTTACACATACTACATAAAATAAAAAAAAAAAAGAATTTTCAAATTTACCTTCCTAGAACAATTAATAGGATATATACTTAATCAAACTATTTTATTTAGGTGATTGCCTAAATATCAGTTACTTTTTGTGATGTTCTCTATCCATATCAGTTATCTTTTGGTGACGTGATTTACTCATTTAATTCCTTAATTCCCGCAACTGGAATTCTTTAATTCACGCAGCTCTCAGGTGGTATATATGGAGTTTATGTTAGTATATATTCAATATATATGCGCAACTTGAATTCCTTAATTCAAGTAGCTCTCAGGTGGTATATATTGAGTTTATGTTAGTATATATTCAGTATATGTGCGCAACTGGAATTCCTTAATTCACGCGGCTGATATATATTGCGTTTATGTTAATATATATTCAGTATATGTTGTAATGAAAAAATGTCTTCCATCAAAAATTGTATCTTCTTCTTTTTTTCTTTTAGACATAAAAGTATATATATAGTTTCAAAACATATTATAACAGATTACTTAATATAAAACCATATATATACACAACACCAACAAAAAAATTCAGTTTATGCTATTTTTAAATAGATTTTTTACATAAAAATTAGGTCTCGCGATAATTTTTTTTATCATATACCGTAAATATACTGAGTATAAACCATACAATATACAAAAAAAAAAAATAAAAAAAAAATAATCATCAATTTATGCTTTGTCAATATAAACCATACATACATATAAGGTAGCCCTTATATTATACAGAACATATACCCTATATATACATAACAAATACCCGATTAATTTATGGCCCCCACCCACAGTCTCCAATTTTCAGTTTTTTCTTTCATCGTCTTGAACTCTTCTGCTTCACCACCTCCATCGCATACTCCACTTGGAACAGCCGCCCCGCCGGCAACCACATCGTCTCGTCGGTGTCGTATTGATTCCTGAACATTTTGTAAACTCGGCTTCTCGAAATTCTCAAGATGGGTGCAGCGATTTATGTCTGTCTTTCTCTATTTTAGTATCAGAGGATAAAAAGGGGGCGAATTTCGTTTTTGATTTTTCCTCAAGACAGAGTATGAACCATGAACAAAAGAAAATTGGGTACAAAATTCTGAAAATAAAAGGGAATAGAAGGAAGTTTTTTTTAAAAAAAAATAAATAAAATAAAAACAGATTTAACAGAAAGCGATCAAAACCTGTCGGGATTCACTGTTGACGTCACACTTAATATCACTGGATTGATAGACATGAAATTCTTCGTCACATCGCAGGTAAAAATAAAAAGAAAAATTGGGGTTTCAAAAAAAATGAAATAGAAAAAACGATGATAACTTCTTAGAGGGATTGAGTACCCCCCATACGGCCCAAAAAGAAACGTTTCATCATAGCTAATCTATTAAAAAAACGCGAAAGGAGAAGGAAAACAAAAATGTGAAAATAAACAAAAGGATAGATTCGGCTGCTGAGGGTTTAAGGGGTGGAATAGAAGGAAGTTAAGGCATAAAATCTCATTAAATCCGTTCCTAATTAAAGGATAAACTGACTTAAATTTGAATTCTAGTATAGGTGTAATTATTTTATGGTGATTTTGCATCTTTGTAAATAAAAATCAATTACCTATAAATGAGTAATATAAAATATATGTGATGGTATAGGGTGTAAATTCTTCAAAAACAAAAAAAAAATGTATTCATTGATCCAAATACAAAAATATAACACAATCAACAATTCATTAGTATATTTGCAATTACAGGAAAATATTTTGTAAATGTAAGAAAAAAAATAAACTTATAATAGGTGAAACGATGTAGTTTTTTCTTCAAGCATGCTAAAGGATCTAGTTTAGGATTTAAACATTTACAAAGTTTAGGCAAAAATAGCTTTTAGCATTTTATTCAATTTCTATTTTTATTTTAATTCTTCCAAATATATGTTTTTAGTTTTGGTCCATTATCTATAAAAATAAAATAAAATTTTGGTTGTCTGACCTGCTATAACGGATCATGTTACTGATATGTTGACGTGACGTTATGAAAAATTAGCATTTTTGACCTTCATCCTACTCTCATTTGAGATTCAGTACTCTAAAAGTACAATTTTTTACATTTGTTTTACTCAATTAATTAAAAAATATTACAAATTAACAAATACAGCTATTGGATATCCCATTAATGCTAAAATTTTCCTATTGCCCCTTTTTTTTGGTTAATTATGACAAAAAAAATGGTTACATTTTATATTAATTGAGTAATAATTATATTATTTTAATTGTTATATCATAAAATAGTTATTATTAAAACTAACGGATTATATTTTACACTAAATGGTATATAAAGTTACATAAACATAAAAAAATTTATTGTAAAACTTTTTGTTCAAGTTATTAGTTCTGAAAATATATATATATATATAGGGAGTGGTTCAAATAAAAACCTTTTCTGGTGTGAGAACCGTGAGAACCATATTCGATGCTATTTTTAATTGTGTATGATGCTATTTTTAATCTTACATGGTGCTATCATTTTTACAAATGCAAAGTTGCTATTTTTAATAAAATACATCCTGATTAAAAATAGCACTAAATACAATCAATCATAGCACTACATACAATTAAAAATAGCGGTTCTCACGGTTCTCACGCTAGAACTTGGTTCTCATTTGAACCACATCCTATATATATATATATATATATATAT